CTCTTAACCAACTAAGCCACTCAGCCGGTCCCCAAGAAGTGTTTTCGTGATTGATCGCTTTAACAAATATCGACAAACCTCTATGTACCAGGGAAACTGCTAACCTGAGGAGAAAAGAAATGACCTTCTTTTATTATGCTCTTAGTAGACAGTATTTTATAGCTTAAAACTAGGAAATGTTGAGAATAATGAGTAGTACATGTAGAATGAATAATATTATAGAGCATAGCAATAATGGAGTCATCTGAAGTTACATGATGCTAAAATCATTGATTGAAAGTTTGTTGGGAAACAGGTTGTTTACATAGTTTCAAAGTATCTCCCCCAGATTATGTATTAATTATGGGGGAGGAGGAGTTCTTTAATGGAGAAATTTGGAGGTAACCACTTGAAGTGATCCAAGTTAATATCACGAGTAATGGAACACACTGATGTTAGTTAGGTGTCTCATCTGGTGGGAGTCACTGACAAGGACTCAGTGTTGCTAGTGTAGTATTCCTGCCAAAAATGCATAACCTGAATCAAATCATGAAGAAATAATCAGATGTCATGAAAGACTGTCCCCCATACTCCCCCAAAAAATGCTAAAACCTGTTTCACATTAAAGGATCCTAAAGAAACATGACAATTCAATCCTGGGCATGATCCTGGCTTGAGCATGGAAGATGAGGAGCGATGGTACCAGGGACAACATTGAGATAATCAGAGAAATTTGAATATTGACTATACATTAGAGAATAGCATTATGTTAGTGTAAATTCCCTGAATTATATCATGCCATAGTTATGTGAGAACGTCCTTGTTAGAAGATACATAATGAAGAATTTAATGGTAACAGGTCATGGCCTCTTCAACTTTATTCTTTAATTGCTCAGCAAAAAATTAAAACTCAACATTAATACCAGTTGCTAATGTTGCCATATAGTTTTTTTATTAAGCTGTTTAGTCTGAACAAAAATACATGCATATAAGATATTTGTGTTAACAATTAACGTATTATTTATTTATTTTATATACGTGGAAAGGAAGAAAGCAAATGTAACAAAATGCTAACAATGAGTGAATCTAGATGAAGAGTACATGGGAAATCATTCTGTTGTTCTTACACCTTTTCTATAAGTCTGAATTTTTGTTCAGACGAAACAGTTTAATTTATATTAAAAAAGCTGTATAGCAAACACGACTAAACCTGGTATTAATGGGTACTGAGTGGTACCAATAAAATGTGTTTTGTACAGAACCATGCTAAAATATTTATAGCTGTGATGCTCAAATGATATATATTTTAATGTAATCATATTGGTTTTATTTTGCAATGTTTATGTTCCTATTTGATAGGTAATGGAATATCTTATTGGTGGAGATGTCAAGTCTCTCCTACATATATATGGTTATTTTGACGAAGAGATGGCTGTGAAATATATTTCTGAAGTAGCATTGGCTCTAGACTACCTTCATAGACATGGAATTATCCACAGGTAAAGACTGACTTTTCTTCAGACTATTACTTAAAAACATAGATCATCAAATTATGTATTAAATATTTGTATGACCACTTGCCCATATATCCAGGNTCCAAATGTTTATAGCTTTATTTTTAGTTTTTTAAGTATCATTTTGAATTCATGGAATTTTCTATGTTTTATGTGTTTTAGTCCACTGTAGGCATTATTTTCTATATTCCAATTGTCCCATCTTTGACAAAAGCCCCTTTGGTTAATTTGCCTTTTTATACTATCCTAGTATTCTGAGAGCTTTCTTGCTTTCTGGTATGACAAGGTACTTAAGACTCATTTTGTAAATGTCCTGTACTAGACCTGAGGGAGGAAGTCTAGCTCCTTTTATTAGGAAATAGTGTTTAGAGACCATAGTGTAGGTGGTAGTAAGTAGTAATGTTCAGTGTCACTAGGTCGTCATTCCTTTTAGGCCTTTTGTGTGGACAAATGAGGAAACACATAGTTTTATGGAAACAGAAAAATATATCATGAGTTCATACAGCTATTTTCAATTGAATGGAAGATATAGAATTTTTACTTCACATCTTTGAAAAAATATATAAACTATAAAAATTTTTGGAGAGAGTATTTATATTCTTTTACCCTGAGAATCTGGAATCCTAATAACAAAAACACTCACTTCTTCTCTTTAACTTCCAATATATGCATTGGGTTGTCGGAAAAGTCACGGCGTATTTTTTTCTGTTTTTTGTTGCAAAAATGCGTTATGACTTTTCCGACAGCCCAATATATTTTTAAAATAATGGTATCAGTATTGTTTTACTGACACTAAAACAACTGGATTCAATTTTGGATTTCCTTGCCATTCTTTTTGTCTTTAGGTGGTATGGTCAAGTTCTGTTTTTTGACGTCACTTGAAATAATTCTTTGTGTGGCTATGAAACTTGGTGTAAAGCTAGGTTCATTTGTTCTCCTTTCATATCAGAGATTTCTACTTCAAAGGGGAATCCATAAAAATATTAAAAGAAAACTGATATAAATATTTTTATAATCATAGAATGGTACAGGACTTACTAAGTACAAGATAAAACTTACTTAATACTTTAAAACATGTGACACAAAATACCATATACATAGTCAAACAACGTGTTTGGAGAAAATATTTATTGTTCAGAAGACAAAGGGTTAATTTTACTAATATGTAAACAGAGTTTACAAATCAATAAGAAAGGGTAAATACCCCACTAGAAAGTGGGCAAAGAATGCAAGTGGTTCACAGAAGAAATATAAAAGGCCAAAAACAATGTGTAAAGATGCCAAATCTCCCTAAAAGTGTAGAAAGTAAACATTTAAACAAGTCTATCTTTTCTTCCTTAGGTTGACAAAGATAAAAAGGATTGATAATCATTGTTGATGAGGACATTAAATAATAATCTTCATGAGCTTAACTACAGTATCTGTTTATTTCTCTACTACTGAATTATAAACTCTTTTAAGTGCAGTGACTACATTTTTTTTTTTTAAGATTTTATTGGGGAATAAGGGAAGGGGAACAGACAAGTTGCTGTCCTTTTGTTCTTCAGTCTAGTTGTGGAGGACGTCGTTTCACTGGCCCATGTTGGTATTGTGATCATTGCGCTCTTCCCAGGTGAGGGAGATCGGTCGCCGGCCACTGAACAGCTGCTCATGGCGGCTTTTGGCAACTCAAACCGGCTGCTCACACCAGCTGCCAGCCACTGATGGTAGCTTTTGGCAGTCCACTGCCGCCTTACTGCAGCCTACACGGTCACCGGTGACTCACAGCAGCCCAGCTCCAGGTCAAGCTGTTGTTCACCATCTTAGCTGTAGAGGGTGCAGCGTCACTGGCCCTAATGTGGGATCCCAAGCCAGCTCTTAACCAACGCGCCAGTCGGCTGGCCCTGCAATAACTACATTTTATTCATGCTTATACTCCCAGCACAGTATGGAGCACA